ACTCTTCTTTTTGTCCCCAGCAGAGTTCCCCAGTGCAGAACTGTTAGGGCTTTATGTACACCCAGGCACCAGTAAATGCTTTCCGAATTTAACTGAATGGCAATATCTTGCCTCTCTGCAAGACAAAGCCTCCAGCTGAGCTCCAAGATCAAAGCACATAAGACCTGCTAACTCACAACTGCTGTATTTCCCAGCTCAGCACCAACTCCACTACCTGCCATTCACAGCCATCCTTAAAGCTCAAGACATTGGTTGCTAGACCCTCTAAATGCTTGACCGTCTCAGGCAGACATAAGGAAGGCAAGCGAGGAGCCAAGAGTCACAGCTAGGCAGGCAGTGGCAGCAACCTCACCAAAAATGAGCCAGGAAGTCAAGTCAGCAATTCAAAGTCAGGATCAGGTCTGGAGACAGTAACAAGATTGGTCACAGTCCAGCAATCATCCAGCAGGTCTCTAGTGATGAGCCAGGTCTGAGGTTAACCCAGTAAGTCAACCCAGCAGGCGAGGATGAGGGTGAGAATCAGGGAGGTGCAAGACTGGGAGCAAGTGCAATTGCAACACTGCTGCAGGGTAGCTCAGGCAGGGGCCAAGCACAAGAGTTTCAGGTTTAAAGCCACCCCCAAGTGAAGGAGGGGGAGCCCTTGGCAGCTCCTTAGCAGCAAGCAACTCCTGGACAAGACGTCTTAGCTGGCCTCTAACCACCAGCTGAAAGGGGTCTTGACAGCCTGTTACTGCAGGCAAGCTCAACAGCCACAAACAGCAAATCCTGTGTCCGAAAAAAAAAAAGACAAGCTAGGTACTTACATCTAGCAGATGGTTTTGGGTGGAAAATTCATCTCTGAACCTAAGGTTCCACATGTAAGCTCATAAGAAACATGGAAAAGGGGAATTTTAAACACAAACTTTTCTCAGTTGCTTAACTTAGGCTCTACCATTTCAGCTTGCTGGCTGTTGTGAACTCAGTTCCTGTAACACAGTGATCCTTGTGAACTAATAAACCAGGAACTTCAGCATCTATGTTCAGATTCCTCTCCTGGTTCTGGCACTTAAAACTTAGCCATATCAACACTGACTGCCTTTGTGTGAATCTAGTCCTTACTACATAAGTAAACTGGAGCCACAAAAATATGCAAGTTGGTTAGACTCTCCAGCATGCACCAAAGGGGCTAGAATCAATCCAGTTAAGTGATGAAGGGAAGAGTTCAGCAGCCAGCCATTTCTATTTGGATTAAAAAAAAAAAAAAAGGTTTATTTAATCTTTAAAATTCAAGGATCTTAAAGACACTAATGAAATATTATTAAATATTTTAAACTCTCTGTAAGGGGATATATTATAATGCTTGTAATGAAAACCTGTATTCACAAATTTGGATTTTGCAGTCTGAACCTTGAAAGTTTAATTATAGGCTTGCTAAATTATGTTTCTGGTAGTAAAGCATGGGTTTTATTCAAAAAATCCTCTTTTCTGGGAAAAGAAAGCACTAATAAAAAGTAATTTAATCTGGCAAGTCATAAATCTCATTCATCTCATTGTGTCCAGTAAGGTGGAAATGATTACACAAGGTGGTGAAAATTCTTGCTCCCTGTAAGTCATTAGAGTTTTATTCTTGTTTTCTCTAAGTTAGGATTTGATCCCAGTAGTGTAGGGATCAGTTTCTATTAATGAATTACAATAGTGATTTGAATTTGATAAAGTTCTGTGGGGTTACTATTTGATTGTTTCATTCATTGAGGTATCACTGCCAGCCAAAACTCCTCTTTGCCTCTTCACATATTCTTTCTCATGTTCAGATATGCGCTATGAAAACAGACAAAGCTATTTCTGGCAACTACACAAGCTATGCAAGAAAAGAGTTCTGTATCACTTCCATTAAAAAACTTCCCCTTTCTTACCCGTTCCGTACACGCTACAGGAGTCAATTGTCAAGGTAACTCCAATCTCCCCAGATCAATGGTCTCCCTTATTGGGGCCTCTCCAGCACAGAAGTTTCCTGACCCATCTTTTTACCCTTCCTTGGAGGTCTGTAACAATTTCCTATAAATGTTTTACTACTACTTTTAGCTACATTTTGTGTTTGTCACATTAGCTAACCCACATATGTAATTTTACTCAAAATACCACAACCTCTAACTAGATTGCTACATCACTTCCAATCTTCTGAATTTGTCTCTTTGGTAAATTGTATACTCTGATATTTTAATATTAAACCATTTAACCAAGAGCCAGTCATGTTTCTACTTTAAATGTTTATCATTTTGTTCTGAAGCATCACTTCATGTTCCTCACATTTTTACACAGATTCTCTTCATAAAGTGAATTTCCTTTCTCTAGGCAATGCTTTCTATCTATATCATTCACTTCAACAAGTTAAAAAATTACTTATCCTTTAAAAGTTGGCTAATCTCTCTCCCATCTTTCACTACCTATCCTTTTGCTAAAACAACACACATAAAACTGAATACTAAAATTACAAGACTACTTCCCTGCTAATTTCTTATACAGATACGGCCTGTCAGTTCTAGATGACTTTGGATCAGCCCCAAACAAAAGAAAATATTCTGGGTAGTATAATCCTGCATGGAACAATGCGATCTGTATAAAAAATCACTTACTGAATCACCAGCACCTCTTTCCACTCCTAGGAGATCTCCCATCGAAGCAATGCCTGAATTAGTGTAGAGTGATTTGTGGCTTTCCAGCTGTCATTCATTAATTCTTAGGAAATACAATATACAATACAATAGTACTCAGCCTGAGGTTGTAGTCTGCAATGTCTTAGGAAGAGTATAACCTGCCTGCTGAATATTCTTTAAAATTGTTTTAAAACAATAACTGTAGCCTCTGATTTTTTTCTATAACCCCTCAAACACATTTCACTCCTGATGAAGTATTGTGTCGGTCACACAGACCCATACGGGAAGAAGGGTAAGGAATTGTGTCTGTGGAGAGTCTGGTTTATGAAATGAACTGCTGAGCTGAAGACAAGGGGTTTTACTCCAGTACTTTGCCATTTATGTTTCTTTGGCAGAGAGGAAAGCACAGGCAAGCCTGACAGCAGGGGCTAGAAGTGACCTGGGCATTCTGACCCACTGGCTTTGGCACTTTACCATCCGGCTGACCTGTAAAAGTTGCCTTGTTTTAGAAATAGTATTGTTTATCTATAATGCACCACTAGCTGCCTCATTTCTTTGACCAGAGACAGGCGAGGATGTTGTGATGTACCAGCCCCATCTGAGGATCCAAGAGCCTGGGGACCTACCTTTAGAGCGAGCCAAGGCGCTGCTTGCACAAAGCCAGTCAGAGAGACTGTGTAATGCCTGCTTCATCAAGGGCTTTTGGCAAAATCTATGACAAGTTCAGCGCAGCCAAAAACACCACACCTTTAGACGTGCACTGTAGCAGAACTTGAGCACACAGGGAAGTTTTCTGGTGGGTTTCAGGCACCCTTGGGTTCCCAGAAATCTGAGAAGACTGCATAGAGGCATAGAGATTTGTTTTCAGCTCTATTGCTCTCTTGAATTTACATGCTAATTAGCCTGAACTGCACATTAGGTACCTAAGAGCTTTTTTTCCCCTGTAACTCTTACACAGTTGATTTAAGAAGTAAATAAAAAGATACGAGCAGGAGGCAAACCTGAAACAGGAATCACTTACAACAAATACTGGGGTTAACAAAGCATAGCCATCGTTCAGTGTTTAGTAGGCACCATGACAGCAATTATTTTCAGGAAGGATTTGAAAAACAATGCTTCAAGTATTTTTATGGCGAACTCCTCCCATGCTCAGGGGTTTTCATGCTTTTAGCTATTACATCTGCAACTGAAGCTAACTGTGAAATTAGCAATTTATTTATCCCATGGTACATACACACACATTTGCAACAGTGAAAGTGAGTAAGGGTCAATGGTGAACACTGTGAGTAAAAGTTAGAACATTTTTTACCAGTTTTTGTCATTCAGTATTTAATCAAATACTTGCAGAGATTCCCGTATTCAAACACTTCCCTGTTCCTTCATGTTGCTTATATCACTAATACTGCTAACACACTGCTGTTATTTCTAAACAACATAATATGAGCTCTGCCAAAATAACAAGTCAGGACAAAGGAAAGTTGACCTTAAAAAAGGCTGCCTGAATTGCAAGGAAGCAGAAGATGTCATTAAGTATAAAATAGAACAATAAAGGCCTATGATTTGTACACAGCATTTGATTCTGTAACATGTAGTAAAAATAGGTCTCCTTAGGAATGCATGTACAACATTAAGATACTTTTCAAGATTGTATCTTTACAAAAACTACACTAGAACTTGTAGTCTGTTTCTTGTATTGTGTCCTATTCTTAGAACTACATAAACACAAAGGGAAAAATATCTCTTGTGGAATTTAACTATTTCTGAGTATCTAGCCACAGATTTGAAAGAAGATTAAATAGGATATAAAGTTGTTGCTTATCTTATTCAGAAGGTATAACTGATAACCAAAAAAGCATACTGAAGGCATGTTGAACAGTGATAAAATTATCTAGACCACTCTGTGTACATAATTACCAATAATTTAGATTTATCCATCTGAAATCAAGATGTAATTATGCATTATTCTATTTTACATTTAGACATCTCTGTAAAATAGAAATTTTAGTTTAGTGAACAATCAACATACAGATGTTCCTACAAAAAGTGGAATCTGAGACATCAGAAAAAAATTATATTTTATCTCCCTCATTCATCCAAAATCAATGCAGTATAATAATCACCACTGTTTCTTAGTGATTTTGAATGGAATTGAAGGTAATAAGTAGATAAGAATTGAAATTTTCTTGCAAAAGCAACAGCAGTAATACTTGTAGACAACCCGATGTGTCAGCAATACCTTCTGAAAGTTTAGTGAGCGCCCCTTTCCTTTTCTAGCAATTTCTTTAAGGCTGGAATTTTTTGAAATCATGAATTTGAATTAAACTAAGACTACTACTATCATATTTATAAAATGAGAACCTGAGTTACCTGTATGGCTGTGAGGATATTGGCTAATGCCTGGCCATACGTGTCATGACAGTGAACAGCAAGAGCACCCAGAGGAATTTCTTTCATAACAGCTTCCAGCATTCTTTTCATACTTCCAGGAGTCCCCACACCAATTGTGTCCCCCAGAGAGATTTCATAACAGCCCATACTGTACAGCCGCTTAGATACCTGATTAGAAACAGAGAAACATGAAAAGGTCAAGATGAAAGAATATAAAATAGGGTCAAGAACATACATTAAAAAGCACACACTTCTGTTCAGGTTTCAGGTTTTGACCCACCAAGGCGGACATATGTATCAGAAACTCTCTATTCATTCTTGAAAATTGTCACCGAAGCACGTCCCATAGACCCTCTTATTTTAAATTTATAGTTCTGCTTCTGTACATGGAATAACCAACCAAGCCAAATCCATCAACAACTTGGGTTTTGACTCTCCCACAGAATCCAAATAAACAAGATTTTACACTATGAATTAAGTTTCTGTCAAGCCCTTTCCCAACATTTTCCTCTCTCTGGGGATTTCCCAGCTGTTTGGTTTTCTCTGTGTACTTTCCAGCTTACAAGTTGTGCAGGGTAAAGACCTGCCCTTTTGTTTGCTTATTACACAGAGCCAAGCACATGGCTGAACTAAGACAATAAATAATTAACAAGAAGCCTGATTTTGCTTTCTCTTGGCACTGAAAACATCAATGAAAACTGAAGTTTTAACATGTTGTAGTTAATTTTGCTTGCTTTTAATGAAATCAAACATTAAAATGCTAACAAAAAACCTGTAACTTAATTAACATTCTAGTCCTTAAGTTTTAAAATTTTTCTTAATACCAAACAAACCCACATACAAATAGTTCTTACTTATGTAAGTAGAGCCCTCAATGTTTCTGGAATTACGTCTCTGAGGAGTTCTTTGTATGAGTAAGAGATTGGGGGGCTGGCTTCATAATGTTTGTATGGAGACAGACATACACTCGGAAGCACAAAATCATGTTTGCACTGAAAATATTGCTTTAGAATGTAGGATCTTTCCATCTTAGTTTTGTTGAATTTATTTGGAAAGGGTTTCACCTTATTTTCAGTTGCTGAGTATGTTTGTCCCCTTTTAGCATTCCCCACTGTGTATCAGCAATCCCAAAAGGCCAGTCCACTGGAATGGAATCCCAATCTGGAAATTAACTGTTTAGAAATGAAAAAATATGACTATTTTCCAAGACATCTTCAGTTGCACTGCACTCTGCTGTTAAAGCAATTCCAGGACTTCATCAGTGGGATTGCTGTGAATATGTCTGAGGAAGCTGACAAAGTGCTGCACCAGCAGTCTCGGAAGTGCTGGATTAATATTGCTGTTCACTTAATTCAAAGAACAGCTGAAAAAGAACTTCAAGTAGTCTGAATCATTCTGCTTGAAGCTTGGAAGTGCTATGACTATTGCAAAGGTAGTAAAACTTTTTGTGCTTTAAAGTCAAAGAGCCCCTGGTTCGCATCAACATAAATTCAATATACGCTTTACGAAAGGGACATTCACCAGATTGCAAAGAACATTCTATCTTGCAGCATATTGTTATATTATCAACACAGGGCAGGTGTTTTAACTGGACTACTGTTGTAAGGAGAAAAAAAAATCATCTGCAGTTAGTGGTAGATTACCTCTAGTTAATCCCCAAACTTCAGTTTTTGTTTAAGATCAGGGTAAAAGAAACAGACTGCATTTTTTTCCTCATGTTTTTCATTCATGGTTCAGAGTTTTTCTAGATGATCATTTTAGTGATGCCAAAGAGACTATATAAACTGCTAGAAATGATGTCGCATTCATTTCTTTCCCATGCTCAGTCCTTAGGTCTTCCAGCTTCTGAAAATAAAGTTCTGAAAGGTGAAAGGAGAGGGAAACTCTGCTAACAAGCTGAGCATCATCACTGACTTGTCATGATCTATCCTTAAAGTGACCCTTAAGAGGAGATCCATATTTAATTTCAAGAAGAATGTGCATGCTTGGAAGCTGAATGGGAGTTTCTCATATTGGATTTTCTATCCTACCATAGCAGGAGGCAGCCCATTAATTACAGTTTTGTAAGTTTTCAGTGTGGATTTTTGGGAGGAGGGTGGGGGAGAAGAGAACACACTGTTTTGTCAGTGTAATCAGAATGTGATTATGAGCTTGCAGCTTTGTTGATTGAACAGGGTTGTGTTCTGCACCACTAAGCAGTTTTACTATGCACGAGTCTTGTGCTACTCCCCTTGGGAGCACTGCCCTGACACCAAGCATTGATCAAAATGGGAGTTGGTGACCCAGCACTGCAACCCCTTAGGCATGTGAACAATCCTACTGCTGGAAATATCTAAAACTCTACTCTTAAACTGAGTACAAAATGTCCTAATCGAGTTACAGGTGATTTTAAGCAAACAACAACATAAAAACACACTGCAGTCCTTGTATGGTAAGGGAAACTTTGTAATAATCCAACCGCATTCAAATAAGAATAGGCACATTTACTGTCGCCTGATCAGCCTGTATGCTGGATAATACATGAATTCACTGCTCTAGGTTAAAAGGAAGCTAAGGAGAGAAGCAGGCAGAAAGATAAAACCAGGTATATCACTGGAAGACAATGGACAGCACAACTGGCTTCAAGGATATTATACGGTGCTTCCAACAACTTTCAAGCCTTATTTGCCTAAGGCTGAAATTCACAAACCACAGGATGATAAACAGTGACTCCATTTCAAGAAAAAGCAGAGTGATAAAAAAGGACTATGCAGTTTAATAGATGAGAAATGTGGTTTGTCTTGTTTTTTAAATGAAGAATCATGTGGATGTACCAGATGGATTCTAGAAGTCTGAAGGCATCTGAAGTTGGTACTCACTAGATAACGATGTGTGAAACAGTTATGTACCTAGTAATCCAGAAATGCATGTAGTCTGGTTAATGAACCAGCTCTCCTAATTCGTTTTGTTTCAGTTAAAAAAATATTTTGCTTAAAAAAAAAAAAAGTCACTGTCATTCACTGTCATTGACTGCAGAAGAAACAGTCTAAACCTTTCAATCATAGCTGCTGATTGCAATGCACAATCAAGGGAGTCACACAGTCCCATCCCAAGAAAGATGATGACCAGAGAGGCAGCTCTCTGAAAGGGTTTAGCAACACAGCCAGTAGTTTTGATAATTCTGATTCAGCAAAGGATGAGTGCATGTGTTTATGTAAAATCCATTAACAGCTAATCAGATGCTTCTACATAAACATCAGTGCTTGCTGAATCAGGGCCTCAATAACTTTAATGAGGCAGCTTTTATTCTTAAACACATACACAATCGTGTACAGGTACACAAGAAGACAGTAGGATGAAGACAGAAAATAAAATATCTGTGTGAGTCAAAGTTTGCAGGTTTGGAACATTAAGTAGCACTTCCACTGGCAAACTGAAAAGGAGCTCTTCTGTGCAAGGAGAGTAGTTAAAAAACAAGCAACACGTGGAAAGAAGCCTGTTGGGGAACATGATATTGCAGTAAGCAATTTACCAACAGCACAGCTAAATCTGTCATCACCACTCTAAAGCTGTGTCACTTCTAACTTTCACTTCATATTAAGCCCAATTAACTTAGAAATACTGAGTACCTTCCAATTCAGCTATTTTTTTTCAAACAGTGTGAGTATATGTGGCTGCTGTGGGAGAAGTATTATCACAAGTTCCATCTGGAATGTATACTAGAAGAAGATGCAGGAGAACAGGACCTGAAAGCCACACATGCAGAACAAAATATATCAGACAAATGTTGACTAGCTGCTAGCGCTACAAAGAAAAAAAAAAAAAGTGGTTTGGAGATTCTGCTAGATCACCAAAAGTAGCTGATTAAGTGTAACAGAGAAGACAAGTCTTTCTCCAGGAGGAAGGCCAGTGTGATCTGCCTTGTGCCTCTTGAATTCTCTCCACTTTGTCCTCTACTGTCCATTTCAGCTTTCATGCCCTCTTTGCCTTCCTGCAAAATTTAACACTTGTGTTCCACTAATCTCTTTCTCTGCCCAAAAAAAAGGCTGGACTAAGACATCCTTTATCCCAAATGGGAAAAGGGGGTGGGGAGGGAAGGTGCAGCTTATTCCACCAGAGCAGTAGAGCAAGTTAAGTAGTAGGAAATCATGTTGGGGATGAGTTTTGGTTCATGTGTCAATCACATGACACTTGGCAGAAGCAGTGGCTCTAGCGGCTGACAGCACAGTACACTTATGCCAGCACAAAATGGATTTAAAAGCAGATACCCTTTGCAAGAGGTTGTGCTGGAAATCACCTCGTACAACATGGTCCATTGGCATATGTGCTTGAGTCTATTTCCTTAAGCACTTCCTTACCTTCTTGTTGGAGGAAATAGCACATAATATTTTTCCTGACTGATAGCAATCAAAACATACTGTTTTTCCTTAGATTTGACTGCATATGGTTGAGTGAGGTTCTGCACCCAGTTTTAGTATTAGCTATGTTTTGTGTTTGGTTTTCCTTAAATTTTATCCATTGAAGATCTTTCTGGGATTAAGTAGAGAACATTAGTTATAGACATTCTGTTTCATCAAAAAGGCAAGCCAGAAGTTCACTCTTACTTCTGCCACTTTAGCTGGTATGATGTTTCCTTCATATGGGCATCCCAATGCACACGACACATACCTACAATAAAAAGAATACACAAACATACTTCTGTGTAATATATGTGTATCCGTATCCATCCATGTTACGTAAAAAAAGGTTAAATACAATTTTGAATATTTAAGCCAGTCAATGTAGAATAAATATTTGAATGAAAAGTTAAAGTTACATCAGATGAAAATAGCAGGTTTATCAATTTTCTTTTTAAATCACAGAACAGAGATTTATAGCTTTATTTATGCTCAATGTATGTCAAGAGTTGTAAAGGACTGGCAATGCAGCCAAGCCAACACTGCTGCAGGAGACTTCAATTTTTCTCAGTATTTCCTTCTGAAGTTGTAAGAGCCAGCTCAACTTTTGCTTGCCTGGCCCACACAAGGTATTCAGAGCAAGGTATCATTTTCTTCCTTGTGCCAGCTATGCAGATCATAGAGAGCAACACATGGACACAAGCAACTTCTAACAACCCCACCATCTCGTAAGTCATTAGAATTGTGGTGAATGGGGTAGCTTTCGCCCTCTATCTCTGTACTGGCATTTCTGTCCCAGTGGCCCAGAAGAATTATAGCTGCATTGCAAGCTGTAGTTTAGGTATGCCTTGGGGCAAGAAGAAACTGAGAAGACAGACTGAGTCTCTCAGCAGCTATCTGCTCCACAAAGCACAAAAATTGAAAGCCACAACCAAGCCTCCATTGTTCAGTCTTAATGCTGTGTTAGTGTAGAATTTCGCTTAAATTTCTTTTTTTAATGACAATTAAGAGCCATGAAATTCCAATTAAACTTCTAATTGTTTATCTTAAATTGATTAGGAATAGGATTAAACTAACCAGAAACAGCCATTCAAAATCAAAATAAGTGTCACTGTAGAGGGATTTACAACAGATTCAGAAGTAGGCAGACCTCCAGTCCCAGTGGGAGGTTGCTCAACTGCTTAATAGAAGAACAAGAGCCTTTATCGATCCCCATCATTCCCCTTCCCTCAACACTGAAGGATATAATGTAAAATTATACACTGTATAATGCAAACAGGATTGAACAGATGCCAGTTCGTAGGTTGTCAAGGTCCATAGGGTAAAGGATGTATTGTTTCTTTGCAGCTGAAGGAGAAACTGATTGATAGAATGTGAAGTGAGGATGAGTAACAGGCAAAACCAAATTGTGAAAAAAATGTCAACATTTTAATGTGTAGAACATATTCCATCCCTTTTATGAAGGTACAGTGTTGGCACACTGGAAGTAGCAGTAAGAATGAAACAAACCTTGAACCTAAAAAGAACTTGATTAGCCCTGACAAAGAAATGGAAATGGATTCTGTTTCCACAAAAGTGGTTGGGTCCATTACGTCCTGCTCATAATTTTAGTCCAGATGCCTAGTAGGCATGATTTCAATTATCTGTATGTCATTATGAAAACCAGGTTTTTGAAACTTGGCCATAGACTTCATTAAATATCACCCCCAATTTAGATGTCACTGTTTAAATTTCAAAATTCTAAATTTTCTTATCTACATTAAAGATAAAAAAAGTAGCTACTGTTAACAGTTAAACACTGCCCTGCTTTTCAGTGACACATAACTCAAAACCAATTCAGGATAATTTCCTTAATTTTTTTTATGCATACACAGTTTTTCAAATGAAACCAAGCATGAAAAATTTCAGACCCAAAGGATTGCTTTTTACATAATACTTCAGTGCCTGGAGCTAGTGAATACACAGACTTTTACTGAAATTATTTTGCAACATCAGCCACAGCACTTATTATGAAGTGAGCAAGAACAGGACTAAATACAAAGTAAATGCAAAACATACAGTACATATGTGCACGTTCCCTTTAATTACACATATCTTTACATGTTCCTAACGGCTACATATGTTAGATCAAGCAGACATGCATTTGGTAGTGATAATGTGGCATGAATGACATCTGGAATGGAGTAGGGCAAACAAAAGTAAAAGCAGGCCAAAAGGTATCTAGAGAACAAGGGAATACTCCCTGTGGTTCACACCAGCGAGCAGAAACTCGCCTGAGCTCACATAATTCAGCTGGGCCTGCCGGGGTATGAAAGTACGTGGTGACCTGAGGAATCTGCCTACTACAATGTACAAATCTGTTTGAGATTATGAACTCTCTGCATGCTTACACCATTGCGACTAGACTGACATTTTAAACAAGGAAAATATGATAGATATAATCTATTTGGGCATCTGATATTCCATATTAAGCTGGAGAAAATAAGGATTACTGAAAGAATTTGACAGGTACAGAACTTCTTACCAGAGAGAGAACAAAGTCCTGTGGAGAATGAAAGAACTGTTTTTCAGTGGAGTTTATCAAGGATGAGCTTGGCAGAATTTTATCTCATATTTTCATTTAATGAATTGGCATAAAAAGTAGAGATGTGGTGAGAACATTAAATTTCTTGGTACTGTCAATACAAAAAAAAGCACTGGGATTCCATGGAGAAAGGACAGGAACAACAGAAATGGGACTCAGTTGATGGCAATGACAAAGAAAGTGAAAAGCTTAAAATGAGGCTGTAAAAGAGTAAAATGCACTCCAAACATACATCAGGATAAGCATTTTCAATACAGGACATAAAATATGAATTCCTTTTGACAAGGTCTTGCTATGTTCTTATTGGAAATAAGAGATACCATTTGAGTCATCTGTAGAAAAAGTAATGCAAGCTGGAACAGATGCAGGCAAGGGCCGAGTACAGCTAGCAGGGGTACAGCCAGCCTAGCATATGAAAGGAGAAAATATGCATGTCTACGTGAAAGAGGGAAGATAATCACGTGTCTGGTCTGAGCATTTGCCAAGACATCTAGACTTAAGGTAGCACTGGGTGGGATGCTTTGTAATTGCATTTGTGTGGTTCCAAATTCATAAGCTTAAGTTAGAGGAAACAGGTTTCAATAGGAAGGTAGATCTGTTATCTACAGATACATTTAGCTGTTACATTTTCGTTTTTGTATATGAAATAACCCATAAGGCTTTAAAAGCACAAGAGAATCCAGCCAAAGCAGAGCCCCAAGACCTCCACCCACACCCCTCCAAAAAGGGAGACAACTTTGAAGAACATGCTGAAAAACTGCTTAGAAAGAAGAAAATTAACAAGACAGAGCCACACAAAGCAACAAAAGACACAAGTTTAAGGAACAGTCTGGTCAACTGCAGCAAACACTACTGACAAGTCAAGAAGAATGAGGATAGACTACTGTTTCTGAGATCTTGTCATCAGGGAGTTTGGTGAGAGCTGTTGCAGTTGCAAGCAACAAACAGAAGCCAAAGTGTAGGAGTTCTAGGAGGGAATCACAGAAGAGGGTCTCCCGACAGTAATTATAAACAGCGCCTTCAATGCACTTAGGAATGAAGAAGAGATAGGCGATGAGATATGATATGAAGAACCAAGTAGGGTCAAAGGTGCAATTTTTAAGAGGCAAATGCTTGCTTATATTGCAGTGGAAAAGAGCCAGAGGACAGTGAGAGGTTAAGAAAGAGAACAAAGGAGGGGAGAAAGAAGAAGAAGAACAGAACATGGGGTCACTGGGGCAAGTGGAAGGGGTACAGATGGAAAGTAGACAAGAAACTCCTGCTGCTCTGACAGTGGAGGAGAAAGAGAAAGGATTACAGGAGGGGAGGGAGAAGAGGGTGACAGAAGGAAGAGCATACTGTAACTATTTTTCCTTAGGAGAAAAAGCAAGATTCTATGTGAAGAAAAGCAGTAGAGGGGAAAAAGAGGGACGAGTCTGAGCAATGAGTTACAGAGGCAACTGGGATTTAATTTGGGGATTCAATTAAGTTGGAGAATACAGCTGTTTTCTAAAAAGATGGCAGGACTGAAAGAAAAAAAGACTTTGTAATGAAAAAACTGTCTTGGTCTCAGGATATTCACCAGAGACACTCCACAGTATGAGAGCAGAAGCAAATATCGAGTTCACAAAGCAGACTCTGCAATGGAAGTGTTTAATTCTAAGTATGTGCTTAAATCTTTGCTGAATCAAGGCCAGACATTTTAGTAGCTTAACAATGTCTTTAGCATGCAATCAAGAAAAGATTTTGCCCATGCAATCAGAGGTGGAAAGAAGGACCTGCAATAAGTGTATGTATCTATAGAGCTGCTTTAGGAACACATGGGTAAATGCTGTTTTGCTCACTCAGGTTCTGTGAAATCACAATTCCTCCCTTGAATAAAAAGCAATAAAAAGTTCTCTACTTGGTTTACCCAGTCTCTTTCCTGTTCTACAGATTTCACTGCAGGTGAGTATCATTTTGTCTTATCCTGAATTGTTTTCTATGCATATAAAAACAATTTAAAAAATAAACCCCAACAAGTTTACTGTGTAATATTTTGGATAAAAATGCTGAACAGCCTCTGGGGATAGGGAGGGAGAAGGAAGAGGAAGAGAGTTTTCAGTTTCTTCTAGTAAGCCAAAACCAAATTGCAATGTTCCGCTAATGGTATAGACAGTATAAGGTCCCCACGATCAAGGTCACTAGGAATGGTGATAATCACCACACCAGCCCAATGACTGTGAAGTGCAGGATATAAAACCACAAACAGGGTAAATGAGCAAACTTTTCATAACCAAAGTGTGTTAAAAGGAAAATGAATCCAGGCAGAAACTGAACTCCATGTTGTAATCAGCCCTTTGTCAGCTTGTTTCAGCAAGAGTTCCAGAGCCGGATCCACAGCTGCTACCACAGCTGGAAGCACGGAGCCTCCTGAGAAGCCAGTTGCAGACTCAGATGCTGCTGTTTCCTGTTTATTATTATAGTGTAAGTTCGCATATAATTTACCATGTTCACTGCAGATGTATTTATTTTTATTGGATGTTCGTGCTAAAATGTATATGCCTATCATTTGATGAATTCATAATATTAAGGTTGATATATTCTGTCTCTTTGCAAAGGAAGCCATTTGTTAAAACCAGGCAATTTTTACTGTAAGGAGAGGGGAAATACAAAGAAGAGAAGAGGGAAAGGAGATTCTTCCAGAAACAGAATCTCCAAGCCAAGCC